AACTGATCTTTGCTCTTGAACACTTTAAAAATGTCTTGTGCAGTAGATTTTTTGACTTCTGCTTCCATGAGTGTTGATGATGGGTATATATATGCATATATATGTAATATATAATTAAAGGTGTCTGATTTGTTGAAAAAGATCATGGACTTGTACAATTAACATTCAAATTAGCATTAGTAGGGGTCCTAGTGTGGCTTGTAGACTAAGTACTGGACTGCTAACTGCAAGGTTTGCAGTTTAAACCCATCAGCCACTTCTTAGAAACCCTAATAAGGTTTACTTTGAGTTAGAACCAACTTCATGGTGCTTAACAATAACAATAACAATAACAATAATACAGTATTACTTAATCAGAGTTTCCTTTTTCTAATTCTCTCTAGAGAGCTTGAAGTCACAGAAGTTATGTAGCTTGGTTAAAATTCTGGTTGCATTATTTTCTTTTAATATTAAATGGTTTAATATTAAATGTCCTGTTGAATTTTGAATGTTCTTTTGAATGATTTAGATTTCAAAGATTGCTGATATCATTTGAACTTTTCCCTAAGAATAACCTAGAAACAATTTCTAAAATTGAGTCTATTCAAAATAGGAAAATTCAAATAATTATTTGATAATAATTATTAAATATTAAATGATAAAAAATAATTCAAATAATGAGAGCAAACAGCACTGTCCTTTCCTCCTTAACCTTAAGATTCCCTGTATTTTAAGAAGTAGTGTAAAATACAAATTTATTGCCATTACCTATCACGAAATGTTCATAAACTGCTTGCTGCTGAGTTTGGGAGTTTGTGGGAGATTATAAGTAATATAAAACACTGTTATTGATTTTAAACAGTTATTGTTAAGTTATGCATAAGGCCGCTACGACTATAAGCCAACTCACTGGCAACTAACAACAACAATATAATTGACTTGAGGAATCCCTGAGTGGTGCAGGTGGTTGAGAACTTGACTGATGAGCAAAAGATTGGAAATTCAAGTCCACCTAGGGGCACCTTAGAAGAACAGTCTGACGATTTACTTCCAATCCCTATGAAGTACAATTCCACTTTAACACACCATGAGTTGGAATCTGAAAGCAACCTTTTTTTCTTTTTTGTTCTTTCTTTAATAGCTGATTTGAGGGAGACAAAATGGAAAATAAAAGAATAATTAAACCGTGCCTTGGGAGGAAATTATTGTGATTACATTAAATGCTCAAAGATCAAAGGTAGAAAAAATGTTTCACCTGACTATGATTACAAAAGCCTTAGTAGAGAAGATAAAACTTTGAACTGTGTCTTTAACAAAGAGGTTTAGAAAGCAGACTGTTTTAAATTGAATAATCTGGAAGTTTATATGATGTTTTATATAATTGTGGTCTTAAAGGCCAAGAGTGGATTGATGGATGATTTCAACAGTCTAAAATATGGTTGTTGGGCAATGCAAATAAAGCGGTTAACCATATTACAGAGAGCCGTGGGGTGTTTGACAGTAACTGTGAGGAATGTGGTTTATAATCTAGGGACTACTACAAATTTATTGCAGGAGACTCTCCAGAGTCTTCCAATCTTGGATTTTGTACATTTTAACTCTTTCTCTATGGGTTACGGTGGCTATGTATGATAAGCCCTGGACTGTTAACCACAAAGTCAGCAGTTGGAGCCCACCAGTCATTCCATGTGAGAAAGATGAGGCTATCTATTCCTGTAAGGATTTACAGCTTCAGAAGTCCTATACAGGGTCTCTATGAGTTGGAACCAACTTGATGTTATTTAACATCAATAACCCTTTCACTGACCTTACTTTCTCTAGCAGGAATAAAAAAATGAGCAAAAAAGAATTTCACTTATCTACTTCAAATAATCAGTGTGATATTCTTTCAAGAAGAGATAATGATCATGGAAGTGTTTTGGAAGCTGCAAACCATTAAGAAAATATTCACTGCTATTACATTAGTCTGTTGCATAATGACTAAAATCAGATTGCTTTTGACAAATAGTAAATCTTTCAGGCTGCCAGGACATCATTTGGTGGACAGTTTCACTACGTAGTTAGGATAAAAAATAATACAATACCATTCTCTATTACCTAGACATAGTTCAGGCATGGTAAAAGGCTTTCCTTTAAATTGATGATATAAGAGTAATTATTTTTGAAGATTTCTGTTGTTCTTGGTGCTGTTATTCTGAATTTCAGGAGAATTGAAGCATTCACCTTTCTACCTGTCTTTGCACAGAGACCAAATCAGAGCTGCCTAGACAAGAACTAGACTTGAGCAATGATCCACAGTTATTTCAACGAGAGTCGGGTTAAGTTACTTTACTCTCTTCTTCCTAATAGGTTGGGCAACTCAAAAATCCACTTCTGGTGGGAAGTTTCTATTGTTTGCTTGCCAGTTGGTAAAGTTTCCCTGAGTCCTTGGTGAGTTGACTCACAGTGCAAGTCCAGTGAGGCATGTTGAGTAAAAGTGGCACTCTCATCCTATGACAATTCTCTGATCTTAGCATTTATGCAACAAAACTAAGTCAGTGGTCACTTACAAAATAAAAACTGGAACTCACCAGAAAAAACACAAATGGTTAAAAGTGCAATAACTTCCCCCCCCCCATATCTTCTCATAGTATGATTTAGTCTCTGTGGTTAAGTTTAATTTAATTGCCTAAGATCTTCAGTCATATTTCCAAAAGCTTTTTTTTTTTTATTCACATCAAAAGGCTTATCTTTTGGTTTTAGATATGTTTTAAACACTAAAAAAAGTCAAACTAATAAACCCACAGGCCATTTTTCACAGATCATTAGTCCCCAGAAGGATGAAAGATTGTATTAGCTGACTCAGATATGATGCTGGTAGTACTAGGAAGCTATGAAGGCCAGAGAACTTCTCATTAAACTTCCCACAAAATGAGAATCGATTCTCTTGAGTTTTCTTCCAGACTAAAAGTTTTAAAGATCTATGACACTTCCTTTTCTATAAGCAAAGCAAGTTATATCTTGCCAAGGAAGATGAGTGGGAGAGTTGACAAAAAGGGGTTTGTTTACATGACTGGTTTCCTTTGCTAAGAACTGTGAGGACATGGGTCTTGAAAAACATCTAGAAGAGGATATAGTTATATTTTCATGAAAGGGAGTCCATGAGCCATTCCAGTATTATTTCCATACCTGCCATGAAGTTAGAGAAGTCCTTGCCAGGAAAGCCTCATTGTTTTAATTTTTCCAGAGCTAGAGAGGAAGAGGAAAGCTATATCACTCTGCACACCTTAGAGGGTAGCTTAAGGTCACTTGAGACTAAAATGCTGTTACTGTGTATCATCCAGTCAGTTCTGACTCATATAAAACCTATATAGGGTTTCTGAAGAGCAGGTGGTGGCTTTAGAGTGCTGACCTTACAGAGTCCAATTTGTTGTTGTTAAATGCCATCGAGTCAGTTCTGACCCATAGCAACCATAGGATCAGCTGGTGAGCTTGAACCATCAACCTTGTGGCTCAAACCAACTTGGTGGTCCGTTAACCCACAACACTACACCAGGATTCTAGAATCCAATTCGGTCTGTGAAAAAATAATTAGCTACCTGAATTCCAGGCCCTTGTGTATGAACACTGCCCCTACCCCAATGAGTTTGTTTGAGGGAAGTCAGAGTGAATACCATCTTGCTGTAAAATTGGTTCAAAACCCTAGACCAAATCTCTGGACAAATCCCTCAAGCTCATTAACATCCCACCAAACCCCAAACCAAACCAAATCCATTACTCATAATGACCCCATAGGATAGAGCAGAAGTGTCCCTTAGATTTTCCAAGACTGTATATCCTTATGGAAGCTGACTGCCACTTCTTTCTCTTGCAGAGTGGTTGGTGGGTTGAAACTCTGTCCCTTCTTTCAGTAAGCAACCAAGCACTCAACCACTGCACCACCACTCTTCCCAGAAGGGATCCAAATTGGGTCAAATACCCACCTGGCTTGACTGGTTATAGTTACAGTTGGCTGGGGCTCTCTGACATTGCTTCATCCTCCTACCTCCTAAAAAAGAAAGCAAAGTTTTCCAGTTCAATAACGTAGTGAACTGCAGGAAACAAAACAGCATTTTGCAGGACAATTTGCTTGGTGGTTTTTGGAAACGTTTGATTTTAACCACTTTGACAAATAAATGCTTGCTAAAGCCATTTGAACTGCAAGGTCGGCAGTTCAAGCTCACCAGCTGCTCCTTGGAAACCCTATACAGGGTAGCTATGGGTCGGGATCGACTCGATGGCACTAAACAACAGGAACAATACTACAAGTATAGGAAATTCGGTAAGCAGATCCGATTTTGGAGCCCATTCCTGGGTTTCAAGTGGGAGTTGAGACACTATCATCTTATTATCTTGGCTTCTAAAGCTGGCTGAAGAACAGAAAATCATAGAGCAAAGTCAGGAACCTAAACTGACCTGCCTGTGAAATGGAGAGGAAGGTTAACACAGTTTTTATCATGTTTTCCTGATACAACAATAATAAAAGGCTTAAGAGCAGTCAGAAATGTTTCTATAGTCAAACCTCCTGCAATCTGGCTTCAGCTTTTTAGAGAAAAGGCACTTCCTACAGGACTCCCTTCCCCCTCCCCCCTCCCCCCCCAGGAAGCTAATTATCACTAGCTGGCAGTGAGTGAGGGTGGGGTCCCCACTTGATGGCTCCACACCTCCCGCTGATCCAATTGTAGCAGGAGGGCTTGGATCCAGCATCTGCCACAGAGTGGGTACAGTCAACTCTTTCCAGCTACCCTACTCCCCTGCAACTGCCTAACTTGTACCACTATCCCCATCACCACGCCCCCACCTCCACCCCCAGTGCAGGGAATTTCCCAAATATCCCATAACCCCCCAGATTGAATTTCCTGTCTGGAAGAAGGGGACACATGCAGATAAAAGAGAGTCCAGAACACTCGGGGAAGCCACAGTGTCTCAAATCTCTGCGCCTCCTCTAACTTTCCTCTAGCCTCCAAACGCTGTACCTCCGCACGCACCCTCTTCTCGCCGAAATGAGTTTCTGGTCCAACCGCTCTGCACGCAACTCCCGGCCTTCTAGCTCCCTGTACCTGCAGCTCGTGCTGCTGCTGCTGCTGCTACTGACGCCACCGGAGCCGCTCGTCAAAGGTGAGATGCAAATCCCAGCTTACCGCCAGGCTCCGCATCCTGGGTGTAGGGGAGTGTGTTGGCTGGGAAATAGTTCTCTCAGCAACCAGTCCTGTAACGGTGTATCCCTTTCTGTCTCAGCTGGTCCTGTAGCCACCGTGGTGAGAGAGCTGCGCTGCATGTGTTTGCAATACAGTAATAGGTTTCACCTAAAAACGATGCGTAATCTGAAAGTGATAGCCGCTGGCCCGCAGTGCCCCAAAGTGGAAATAATGTAAGTCTTTGCATGCTACCGTATTTTGTGACCTTGGCAAGATCAAGGTCTCCCAGCCTGGTCTTCTACACCTGAGGCTCATGAGCACAATGTCTTTTTCTGTCTGCAGAGCCTACCTGAAGAACGGGAATGAAGTGTGTCTGAACCCAGACGCTCCTGTGATCAAGAAAGTCATTCAAAGACTTTTGAGCAGGTACCTGTCATTTTGATCTTTGCGATTCTTTTAAATCTCTTCTTTGGAGAGTGTAGGCATCACAGACTCTTCACCTGTCCGAGATCCTTATGGGTTGTGGCTATTACATTCCAGACTATGTTTAGAATTAAAGGTTAAGGAGAAGGAACGTCTCAGAAAAACTTAATAGTGCAGACCATTTATTTGTTAAGCAATTAAGCAGAATTCATTAGTGAAATGTATTTTTATGCATGTGTTTGTTGTTGTTGATCTTTATTTTTTTCATCAAATGTTTTCAACTCTGAGCCTTGAAAAGGTACAAGAAAGGAGTGTGTTGAAATTGGTTAAACTGATGGAATTATTTTCTCAACAGTGGAAAAAAGAACGCCGATTAAGAGAAAGAACCATGCATTGGAAAAACTACCTAGTCTTCAGCAGAGCATTCTTCTAGAGATATCTCACCAAGAGAAGACAAAAAACAAGCGTTGGCTTTCTCCAATCAGTCATTTTTCAGTGATTTCCCACTTTGGGGTGAGGGGAAGCAGACGGACCGTTTGTTCCTACAACTTTCTAATAAGTTTATTAGGTATTAAGCATATTGTTCTGCTATTTGTTTTGTTATGCTATTGAAATATTTGGCAATTGACTAAATTGTGAGCAAAGAATCATTGATTGTTAGCCTTTCAAAGTGTCCTAAACTGAAAGTGATTATTGCGGTCTAGAATATAACCCTTATGGTATTACTGAAAAACTATGGATTTAATATATAAATGGTATTTTATTAGATGTTGCTGTTGGAGAGGAACTGTAATCCTCACTCCTCTCATTAAATGAGAAATAATTATTTTGGTATTGTTTATTGGGGGAATATATTGGAGACCTTCTTTACGCTTGAACCTGGGATACTGTTTAAACTATATTATATTAGAAATATGGTTATTGTTGTTGTTGTTAAGTGCCATTGAGTCAGTTCCAATCCATAGTGACCCTTGATTGCGTTTCCGAGGAGCAAATGGTGAGCTTGAACCACCAACTTTGCGGTTCAAACGGCTTTGCAGTCTGACGTATTAACCCACAGCGCCACACCAAGACTCCAGAAATGTGGTTAGAGCCTACATTTATTTGCATAGAATGCATGTATTTATTCAGAATTTCTGAATGCTTATAAACCCCAAAACCAAACCCACTTCCTTTTAGTAGATTCCAGTGCATAGAGACCCTATAGGACAGTATAGAACAGTTTCAGAGGCTATAAAGCTTTATAGACACACACTGCCTCATCTTTCTTCTGCAGGGTGACTGGTAGGTTCAAACTGACAACCCTTTGGTTAGCAGTCCAATACTTAACCCACTGTGCTACCAAGACTCCCTTTAAGTTCTAGCAGGACTAATGTAATCTTTTCCTACAACTTTAGACATTTCATGTCTTCTTAGTATGGCACAATGTCATCATTTACTCATTAAAATTTGATTTCATATGATATTTATTAAACATTAGGGGTGCTAGAATTCTATTAAGTGCATGTATGTTTGGATAGATTGAAAAATATAGGTAATAGGTAAATTTTGGATTTCCAGTTTTTGTGGAAATGCATTATTTTAGATGGTTTTACAAATAAAAGCATTCTTAACCATGATCTGTGCTTTGAAAGTTTAAAAAACAAATTCAGATTAATTTAATATAAATCCATTGTTTTGTTTTCCAATTCAAACATTGTAGTGCTTTAAAAAATGTTATGGTTATAGTATATCTTTTTAAGGCTTGGACCATTTTGTTATTAGGAATTAAGTATGTACCACATTCACTATACTAAAACTGTACCATTTTATTATTATTGTATGCCTTATTTGTTTATAGCACTTTCTTTGTACTTTGGGAATAAAACAAAATATTTTAAATATTCATTCTTGCTGTTTTCTCCATATATTGTTTTTATTTATTTTTCATTCTGCATTACTTGAAAAAATGAACTCCACTTTATTCTGGATAATAGAAAAATTCCGATTTATGGTGAACCATGTGTTTTAGAGTACAATGGTGCATAGGGTTTTCAGAGACTATGACCTTTAGGAAGTAGATCCCCAGACTTTTCTTCCCAAGCCTCTCTGGGTAGATTTGAAGTGCCAATCTTTTAGTTCATTAGCTGAGCACTCATTTCCCAATGACATGACATTAGTTGAACATTTCTCCAAGGTCACTCCTCTTCCAGTTATGTACCTATAATGCCAGCAGCCTTTGAAGTTTTTTTTTTTTAGAAAACCCAAATAGTATAAGATTTCTCTACCCTAAATCTTTTACTCACTCACTATTTCCTAGACATATACTAGTTCAGTTTCATGTCTTCCTCATGTTCCCTGCACTCAGTTATCTAGTTCCCTAACTGAAAATATTATTTCATCATCTCATCCCTTTGCAATTGCTGGGGTTGTTACCTGGAAAGTTGCCAACCATCAATCAGTTTGTCATACTTTGGTGACTAGTATATTTCTATGATGCTGAAAGCTAGGCCAACAGTATTTCAAATACTAGGAAGGTCACCCATGATGGATAGCTGTCTGTGGAGCTTCCAGATTAAAACTAGGAATAAAGGCCTAGTGGTATACTTCCAAAAATTAACTAATAGAAGCCCTATGTATCACAGCAGAATATTTTCCAGATAGGGCTAGAAGATGAGCCCTCAAGATTGGAAGGCATTATACGGTAGCCTGATCAACGAACTTAAATATACTAAAAATCATGATGATGATACAAGACCAAGAAACATTTTATTCTGTTACCTGTACGTTGCCAAGAATTGGAACTTACTCTAGGGCAACTAATTTTCAGCCTCGGAAACCCTGTACGGGGTCGCTATGAGTCGGAAACAACTCCACAGCACAGAACAAGAACTAGGGCAACTAACATCAACTACCAAGATGGACCTTATCTTTTTCTACTAATAGGAGGAAATGTATTTATTATTCAGAACTCGGCTGAAAAAATACCTCTTTCATGAAGTTTTCTTTGACACTCCTATCAGAACGCATGATTTGCATTTTTATGTTACCTTAGCATCTTGTAGATACTTGAATTATAGGAAATATATCTCTACTATTAATGATTGTTAGATTTTTTTTTTTTTTTTTTTTACTCTAATATACTCTCCCAAAGTTCATCCATTACTTCATCCCCAAAGCCTGGCACTGATTGTCTTAACTAATTAATTCTGACCTTCAGGTGGTCAGGTTGTGCCTTAAAACCAATAACCTGGCACACAGTAAGTGTTGAGTAAATTGTGTTTTTTTACTTTCTTTCATTTCTCTTTCCTAGTCACAAGAGATCTGGTATATGCAATGTCCTCAGTCTATAATATCTATTCCTCACTTTCACGTGGATCATTCCCATACTTCCTTTAAACTTGTCTGCCATTTGCTTGAGGCAGACTCTCTGACCATTCCCCTTCTCCCAGCACATTGTTGTTGTTGTTAGGTGCCATCAAGTCAGTACCGATTCATAATGACCTTATGCATAGCAGAAACACTGCCTGATCCTGAGCAACCTCACTAGTGTTGCCACGCTTGAGTCCATCAATGCTGCCACTTGGCCAATCCATCTCGTTGGGGGTTTTCCTCTTTTTCTCTGACCCTCCACCTTACCAAACATGATATATTTCTCCAGAGACTGGTCCCTCCTGACAATATGTCCGAAGTAAGAGAGACAAAATTTGGCCATCTTGACCTCCAAGGAGCACTCTGGCTGCACTTCTTCCAAAACGGATCTATTGGTTCTTTAGACAGCCCATGGCACTTTCAATATTCTCCTCCAACACCATAACTCAAAAGCATCGATTCTTCTATGGTCTTCCTTATTCACTGTCCAGCTTTCGCATGCATATGAGGTTATTGAAAATAACATGTCTTGGGTCAGGTGCACTTTAGTCCTCAAGCTGACAGTTTTGGTGATAAATTATATTTTCCAAAGAAATGAACATTAACTGATTATTTCTTTATTACCATTCAAAAAATTTTCATTACAAGAAGACAATTTTTTATGTTTAGTTTGTTCACAGACCATAGAATAAGGCCTTATTTTTAGTATCCTTGAAATTCTAGTTGCCAAGTCCATTCTACAATTGACCATATATAAAGATAATGGATTATACTGTATGGCAGGAGTCTAACCTATTCAATGAAGAACCCCAATGAAGGCCACTTCTCACCATTCCAACTATTACTAGGTATCACTAGCAAACTCAGTAAGCAGCATATATGAGAAAGAATCAATATCTTTTAGGTAGAGGCATTTCTCATTATATTGTGCTCTGTTTTATTGTACAATATTTGCTTAACAGATATTACCTTTTTTTTTTTTTTTTTTTAACAAATTGAAGGTTTGTGGTAATCCTGCATCAAGCAATTTTATCAGCCTCATTTTTCAAAAGCACTTTGTGTTTCTATGTCACATATTGGTAATTCTCACAATATTTCAAACTGCTTCATAATGTTATTACATACTTAATAATCTGCTGTATAGTGTAAATATAACTTTTATAAATATTGAGAGCCAAAAAAAAGTGTTCATTTTATTGTGAGATTTACTTTCTTGCTGTAGTCTGAAACTGAAATCATGATATGTCTCATGCATCTCTGCATATGGCTTATTATATCCTTACTGAAAAAACAAAAACATTGCTGGAATCAAACTGTTGCATCGGGTTTTCTTGGCTCTCATCTTAATAGAAGCAAATCTCAGCTCCACTGGGTGGGTATGAATGATCAGTTTTTATGGAAGTACTGTGTATAGCCAGCAGAACAAACAAATCTGCCTTAGAAAAACTATAGGCAGAACACTACTTAGAAGCAAGGATGGCAAGACTTGATCTCTTGTTTTGAGAGCATGTTTTCAGTACGAATCAGTTCCTGGAAGATACCATGCTTGTATTAGTGGAGGGCCACTGAAAAAGAGGAAGACCACAACAAGATGCATTGTCACTGTGGCAGCAACCATGGGATCAAACTAAACAAAAAACAGTGACGAAAGC